ATAATTCAGAGAGTGTGTAAGCTTCACTTTAATGATCAGTTCTTTTACTCACATTTCTGTTATTTATTATAGAGCTTGACACATCCCAAGGTRCAGGAAAGGTTAAAAGAACTTATTGTAGAAATGGAGGATATGTTTAAAGACGATCCACAGTTAAGGTGAAATTCAGTTGCTAGACGAAGTGTCAAAATATTAAAAAAAATTACAGATTAAAAAACCTCATATATTTCACAAGTTTGTATTGTAAGTTTTGAAGTTTGTTGGGATGTTGGTTTTTGATCAAATAATCCTAATTAGCATGACATTAAGATATCATGAACTAGTAACATTGATTACAAATGAATCAAGGAAATAAAGTTTTGTTTTGTARGTTCAAATCCAATTCAAGCATTTTCATTTTTACAGCACAAATTTGAAGAAATTTTGAAGTTTGTTATTACAATAAGTGGATTTTAAATTTTTCTGTGATTTAGAATGATTTGTGTTGCTTCTTACAAGTTCTTTTGCTCTCCAGTCTCGTTTCTACTACGAAAAGCCAATTGAAAGCTGAGGGTATTGAATTTCCTGCTCTATCAAAGGTATATGTTGGTCATATAATCAATGATTGAATGAATGAAAAACTAATCAATCAACTGATGAACCAATGAGTCAGTCAATCAATCAATCAATCAGTCAATCAATCAATCAATCAATCCAACCAAACAAAGAATCAGTCAATCAACCAACTATGAAATCAATCAAAATATCAATCATTCATTCAATCAATCAATCAATCAATCAACCAACCACTGGATAAATCAATCAATTAATCAATCTTTCAATCAACCAACCATCCAATCAATTGATCAATCAATCAACCTACCAACCATTGAATCAATCAATCAATCAACCATTGAATGAATTAATCAATCTTTCAATCAATCAATCATTCAATCAGTCATTTAATCATCCAATCAATCAATCAATCAAACAGTCAATCAAAAACATAATTTTTACTCTATCTTGTTGCTCTGTAGCTATCTTCACCATCAAAAAGTAGTAGTACAAGCAGCAGTAGTTCTTTGAAAAGTTCTTCTTCTGGTGGAAGTCTTTCAAAAGAAGAGGAAGATTTAGCTCGAGGTAGTAATATCCAAATTTTATTAATATTATCATCCTTGATTTTGGGTGTGGTAGAATCTCTTGAATGGCTAAAACCATGCAAACTTTGGTTGCATAAAGTCACCTTGACTATGACAGTTATTGTTTTTTTATTATATTTTTTAGCTATTCAGTTATCTCTACAAGAATCAGAAGGATCCAAAGTAAGCAATTACAGTGACATAATGATTACCAAAAGATTAGAATAATAATTGTAATAATTAATTAATAATTAATTGATGTTTTATGTAATATATAAAATATGAGCGGGAGACCTTTATGTGCATTTAAAACTGCGAGCTGCAAGCGAGCAGTTTTATAGCCCATAAAGGTCGCATGTGAATATTTTATATTGCTTATCAAATTACAACATAAGCTAAAGCATATTTCGAAAAAAACTTCAGGATAAAATATCATTTGTAAGAGAAAATCGAAGTTTAAGTTGTATGCAAATCAGGACAAATCTCTTGCTCATGTAAAGATGCGGTCACGGCAATGATTTTCCATTGTGTTTACCTTATGAATTATTAATGAATTTGATAATATCTGTTTATTAGCCTAAAGTCAGCAGTTTATATCCATCTGTTATGTCTGGTACATCGTCAAGCTCTTCTAATAATAATTATGCATCTATTAAAAAGGTATTGATTCTGTGGTAATATAAAGTTAGACTACATKTACTTGTAGCCGTTTCTGGGGTCATCTGTGGGATGATCAAGGGAAACGGCATTGAAGACTCTAGTCATTTACAGTGCAAAGAGTACAGTACCTCTCCATTATAATGCTTTGTCGAGCAAAATGCCATGTTGCACATAAAATATTAGCTTAGTATGAAGCTGTATAACTTACCGTATTTACCCATGTATAAGCCGCACTTTTTTTTCCAAAAAAATCGTTCCCAAACCGGGGGTGAGGCTTATCTACGAGAGCGGCTTATACATGGGTAAATACGGTAAATACAAATTATAATATCATGGAGAAAATTCTAAACATTGTATGTGCAACTCATATCCTCATTGTTGCAAAGAAAGTAATGGCATGGTTGTCTTTATTTTTCCTTAGCTTCAAAGAAAGAAAGTTAAAGCATTATACGACTTTGAAGCAGCAGAAGACAAYGAGTTAACATTCAAATCAGGAGACATTATTTCAGTACTGGATGATAGGTGAGAACAAGCATTTAGTTAGTAAAAGGTGACTGTCTCCCTCTACCAACTATGGAACAAGCTAACATTGTTATGGTAGAGTGCTAAAACTAAAACCATGTAAAAATTTATTTATTAAATAGTGCTAGATTGTATTGAATTATGTGAATTCTTAGTTTGTTTTCTATTGTTAAATCTACACTATACACCCTTTTAATAATCCCGAGCTATTGAGTTCTCCGYATTTGATGTCAAATTTATTCTTTTGAAATTTTTACAATACCAAAGGATTTGAAATCCTTTGGTATTGTAAAAATTTCAAAAGAATAAATTTGACGTCAAGTGTGGAGAACACAATACTTTACCCCAGGACATACTAAAAGGGTGTGTAATGTGCTYAGTATTAGCACTATCGACTCCTTGCAATTCACATGGGAATGCAGCTCCAACTGGAGGACAAAATTATGGGTTCTACATAGTCCCCATTGGGCAAAAGTCTTTTGTTCTGTCATCCAGATGAAGCTGTTTTGATGTCACATGCAAGGGGTCTGTTTGCTTTAAGTATTGGTGCTATTTTAGTAAAATGATATCTTTTTTTACTGTTTTGTTTACAAGTGATGCAAACTGGTGGAAAGGAGAGACGTATGATGGAACAGGACTTTTTCCTTCGAATTTTGTGACAACTGATCTTTCAGAACCCAAACCAGGTAAAAACATATTCAAATTTTCATCATATGGAGCTAGAAATGAATAATTAGGCAGAGTTAAATCTTAGCAAGCTACAATCTTATGCAAAATAAATGGAACACTCTGCCTCTTTTCCCCATTGCAAGGCTGCAAACACTCTTCTTTCCTCACCATTCCTTGTCTATTTCGTAGCAATTCATTGACAAACAACAATGGGAGGGGAGGGGAGGGAGGGGAGGTTGTAGTTACACAATCATAGACTGACAGTGTTTCACACAATTTTGCAAACGTTTGTAGCCTACAGTATCCTATTGCATGCTTGCATGCAGGTTGCATGGCAATGCTTTGCATATGGTGAGGAAAATGAAATAGCATAATGAAGCTCATGCATACATGTAAATACTGTCTGATCAATTTTTGAAAGTGTGATAAGATAACTATATGGATCCAAGTGAGTCTTACTRGACAGTGTACTTTGATTTGTTTAGTTGTAAAAGTTGAGAAGAAGAAGAAGGTTCGTTGGGCCGATACACCAGCTGGACAGCAAGCCCAACAAGAGCAACAACAACAGGGTGAGCTCCTTACGTTTATTATTCCTAATTGAATAAGCCTATGGTTACCTTGATTTTAAATGATTTTGATTGATTTTGTCCAGTGTTTTTTCTTGCTCTCTGATTACCATCTTTTCCCATTTTCAATATTTCTTTTCTCTTTATTCTCTCTTTCATTTCTCTTTGTTCATTTCTTTTATTATTGGTCCACCCCTTTATTCTTTTTTCTTTCATCCTTTCATTCTTTTTTTTCATTTCTTTTCAGTTCCAAAGCCTGAACTCAGTGAAGTAAGAAAACAGACATTTGATGTTTCCTTTTTAAAATTCACTAAATCTTTTAGGCTGCATTCTAATTGTTTCATCTTATTCAGAGTGTCATTGAGCAATGCCTGACAATGCTGAAAGGAGCAAGCGTTGAAACAGAAGATGAACAAGAAGATACAATGAATGAGCTTGAAGGTAAGTTTTTTACAGCAAAAATCGTTGCATTGCAACTTCTACGTTTCAAATTAATTTTGGATTTTGCTCTTTCCTTCGATCAAAGGGGCCGAGCCTTTTGTAAATTCTTTCAGTCATTGGCTGATTTATAGCAATCTCTGAGTTTGAGTTTGTTTGATGTGTTGTTCTCTCCCTTGCCACGAGGGTTTTTCTCCGGGTCCTCCGGTTTTCCTCCCTCAGTAAAAATCAACATGTGAGGAGTGTTGTGTGCTAAAATAATTAATGTAGAGGTAGTGAGT